GGGAAAGCGATGGGCAGAGGAGCTGCACTTCACAGCTGAATTCGCGGGGTAAAACCCTGCGGTTGTGGCTGGGGGCAGTTTGAGCTCCGGCGGGGGGGCAGTGTCTTTTTCTTGCATGTAAAAATGTTGTGCGTGCTTGTTGGCCTGTGACTTCCAGGAAAGTTTTGAAGGGACAAAATCACACTCAGCTTTGTCTTTTCCCGATATCCCTGGTTTGCAGAAATACCCGACTGCTGTCATGTGCTGCATCACTTCTCGTACTCTTGGAGGCACTTAGAAAAGCAAAAGGGAGAAAAAGCATAAATGGAGAAACACAGAAAATGGTTTTAAACTAGATTTTTTTTTTTTTTACACTTGGTTTTATTCAAGTATTTATGACACCATAAATGACCAAGAATTTGGGAAAAACACTGAATTGGAGAAAGGTCATCTGAGGTGAGTCCCTCACAACGCTGGCAATGCCACCTGGACAGACTGGAGGTAGGAACGATCCGGTTTGTTTTCAGTAAATCAGAATAATTCCAGGGTGGCACGGAAGCCCTGCAGGAAAGGCTGTGAGGAACAGCCTGCAGCAGGGCCAGGGCTGGCGAAAAGCTGCAGAAACTGCTGCGAGGGCTCTTCTCTTTGCCATGGCTGTGCTCCTGCCCAGTGCTCCCCCAGAGCTCAGATGCCCAGGGATCGTCAGCTGCAGGTCACCGACGCAGCTCTTTCTGCTGGGATTGAGGCTTTTTCCCCCCCATTTTGTTCTGTATTACACTTCGAGGTTCAGGATTTTACCCACCCACTCACCCACTGAGAGTCAGAGAGAAACCCCTCGCCCCTTACCTGTGCCCATCCACCAGGCACAGAGGGACAAACCTTCCTCCTTGGGCATGTGCTCAGTGGAAGGAGACAAGGAGGGGTTGCAATGTTTTAATAAAATCAGTTAATTTTTTTTGCCAGGCTGGGACGTGGGATAATTCCCTTCTTTGAAATGCTCAGCACAGTTGAGAAGCCAGTACCAACCTTCCCGTTCCCATTAAGGCTAATGGACTGAGGTCAGCCACAACCAAATTTGCAATGAATTTTACATGTGCATGCAGCCACTTGTTTTCCCATTAAAAAAAGAGAAAAATACAAGTCTGCAACTGAAGCTGCTGCGATTGCAGTTTTGGAGCACCCCTACTGTAATGGTATCAGTTATGTCTTCTCAATTTTACAGCTCCCCAGCACCCCGTTGTGCACTGTTGTAGGTATGGCTGCATCTTTCCCACTCTCACCCACCGTTAATTCTTGAATTCTTAGTGATTAGTATTTGTTTTGCTTATTTTGCAAGTTCCTCTAAGATGTCTAATTATTTGTTTGCAATATTATTCTATATTTTTTTAACAATGCTAATGGAAATGTTTAGAAGATATGATTTTTTAAGCTTGTAGTGTGTTTCTGTACAAAGGCATCTTTGACTCCTTACATATTTTGGACATTATTATTGATTCCAGAGTAAGACCTAGGCTGTTAAAGCCTACAGTCATATAGTTTTTATTATTTGTATTCCCAAAGTAGGGAGAAGTCTACACATGAGATAGAATCCCAACATCATGTAAATACACGTAAATAAATGGACTGTCCCAAAGATGTGAGAAATGGCAATAGCCTGTAACACGGTTTGTTACATTTGTATTTTTCTGAATGCTGTAATTGAGCAGAGCAGTTCCCTGTGATTAATTATCTGAGTCAAAGATGCCAAGCTATCAACAAAGTCTTGTTCTGCTTTATTAATTCTGTCTAAACAAGAGCATCCCATTTAGGTCTGTTCAAATGTTAAAGTTTGTTTATTTTTCTATCTATGGAAAGGGAAAAATCACCAGGCAGTGAGGCATTTTTTTTTTTCTTTGAATATTTTAATTTAGAGAGGTGTTCCCCAGCTTCTCTGATGTTGGCCAACCTATGTCCTGAAGTCATATTTCAACTGATTGCTCAGTTAATTAAACTGTCACGTTCTGTTAAAAACTCCAGAACCTGATGTCATTCGTGCTTCCAGTTCAGCTCTCCAGGGTCCACGGCTGAGTGACTAACCGTGGACTGGAGCTTCAGCCCTTCTGCACGTTCCCAAAAGGGGGAGAAAATTTCAGTCCAGGAAAGGTAATTCATGCCAAACATACTTGTAGCTTGAGGTTTCAGCAATTATCTAGAATCTGATGCAAAGATAATTCAATTATCCCAAAGACTTTGACAGGTTCGATGAGATTTTTGGTAAAGGAGCTGCTCTTTGAAAACTAATTGCAACATGGAAGGTCTTCCTCATCGAGCGTGATGGGGGATGCCTACAATTTACCCACCCCAAAATCAGGTTGCCAGCCGGCCAGGTTTCTGACAGCTTCACCTTACTGATGGTACAAATTGTCACTTTGCAGCTGGTAGTGCAGTCTCGGGAGACTGCATGTCCCAGCATGAAAGCGTCCACTCTGCTTGAAGCAGATATGCGTGGCTGAATAAACCTGCTAGAAAACATGCCTGCTTCGACCATGGCTCAGCCAGAGGAGCAACTTCAGTCGGGATCTATGGGCTTGGCAGTAGAAAAAAGATCAGTGTGTAAGGCCAGAAAGAGGGTCCAGAATACAGACTCCCTTGGGAATTTCACCACAAATTGCAACTGAGACAGCCTGGCAGACCAGGACTCTGTAATACATTGCATCCTGCTTCAACCCCAACACATAAATTGAAACCTACAGGTTGATCTGCGAAACAGACCCTTCGACCACACACCGTTACACGGAAACACAGAGAAATCTGTGTGCAGGATACTGGAGGATCAGTATACTGGTTGCATTAGGGCTCTCTTTATACTGCCAGTTATTATGCATGTTTGTAAAGGACTGGGTACAAATTTTTTTGACAGAGGATGTTAATTTAGTGCTCCCTAAATGATTCATCCCATTCTTCCACATTTGCTCACCTTCTGAATATTTTAGTGTATTAGCAGCCTCTTAGGTTATGTGCCAATTAAATAATTCAGTTCATTACGCAAAAAACATATAATAATTCAGTTCATTATCCTCCAGCCAGCCTGTGGGCACATGTACGAAAATGTATCAAAGAGCATCAGTTAACAAAAATAGTATCAAAAGAGAAAATGCAGTTGCTGTAGGGTGTCGATGAGCTGCAACATCCCACCCAAGAGACGGCGTCATCTCAGCCCTGAAGAGATCCCCATATACCTTTTATGCAATTTACAATTTATGAGTCTTAATTAACGAGTGTTTGTAAAGACCTTTGGAACACTTGGATGAAAGATGCTGCAGAAATCTACGTAATGATTATTAATTACATAACTTTCTCATGGCTCAAGCACCGCCGGCAGAACAGTTACATCACAGAGGAATGACACCGCATCGATCCGTCAGGACGTGGAGATGTAAGAGGAAGAGCTGCCGCTGCCTCCTGCGGGGTTTGTTTCAGGACCCTCATGGTATCTTGCTCACTGAGCCCCACGGGACAAGCTCCTTGGGATCAAGCCCAGAAATGTCATGGCATAAAGGAGCTTGAAGAGGAATTGGGCGGAGAGTTACGCATTTGGAAAGCTAATTGCTGTCCACTGGGATGGAGTGCCAAAGCCCACAGGAAAGTGGACATGGTTTGTGTTTCTTCCATGCTGTGCTGGTTTTGGCTGGGGTAGAGTTAATTCTCTCATAGTAGCTAGTGTGAGGCTATGGTCTGGATTTGTGCTGGAAACAGTGCTGATACAGGGATGTTTTCGTTACTGCTGAGCAGGGCTTGCACAGGGTCAAGGCCTTTTCTGCCTCTCACCCACCCCACCAGCGAGCAGGCTGGGGGTGCACAAGGAGCGGGGAGGGGACACGGCTGGGACAGCTGACCCCAGCTGACCCAAGGGATATCCCACACCATATGGCGTCATGCTCAGCATATAAAGCTGGGGAAGAAGAAGGAAGGGGGGACACTCGGAGTGATGGCGTTTGTTTTCCCAAGTAACCATTACGCGTGATGGAGCCCTGCTGTTCTGGAGATGGCTGAAACCTGCCTGCCGACGGGAAGTAGAGAATGAATTCCTTGGTTTGCTTTGCTTGCGTTCGTGGCTTTTGCTTTACCTGTTAGGCTGTCCTTATTTCAACCCATGAGTTTTCTCACTTTTACCCTTCCAGCTCTCTCCCCCATCCCACCGGGGATGTGAGCGAGCGGCTGGGTGGGGCTTGGTTGCCAGCTGGGGTTAAACCACCGCAGATGCTCGCCCTCACTGGACTTCATTGCTCTCAGCTGGTTCTCCAGCATTCACAGCAATTTCAAAGGCATAAGCTTGTATGGTTTGCTGCACGTATCAGGTGTAGCTGTGTGATTTGGGGAGAGCTGCTTTCTGGTGCTGTGCCTCACTTTTCCTCATGCATAAACTAGAATTTATAATAATAGTCTTTATAAAGTGTTTGTAAAGCATTCGTGTCTTATACTTCAGAGACCAACGTATGTGTTATAACTACAAACGTTCTTTAAAGCTGAGAAAAGAGGAGATTTGCCTCGGCCGGATAATTACGAGGATTTTTGTGGCAGGATTCAGGATGCAGACGGAACTGACTTATCAGACGCTCTGCTTTCTAGCACCCGTGCAGCGTCCCCACATCCTGACCAGCGTTATGCCGCCTGGCAGGCTTTTCTGGTAACGCTGCACCGATAACCAGCTCGTTCGTGACGGAATGACAGAGCTGCAGGAAGCCCTGCCACATTTCTGGCACCACATGAACGCACCGACCGGTGCCACCACGCACCTCACGCACGGGGGGGATGGCCTTTCGCCTTTAGGGACCGGGGCCTTGCTCCGACAGGGACCCGTGGCTTGTGGCTGCCTCCATTGGAATTGCGAAGTCCCCACGCCAGTGCTCAGCCCGAGGTGGGGTCTGCCGGGCCGCCACTGCTCTGCCCCAGCCCCCAGGGCCAAAGGGGCCATCTTGGGGCCCGGTCTCAGAGGTCTCCAGGGCACTTCGCACGGCACCTCGGCTCTCGCCAGCCCTGCCATGCCGCTCCCTCCTGTCCCTTGCTCGCTGTCGCCCGCGCTCAGGGCAGCCTGTCACCCTTCGCCCACGGGACCTGCCCAAATTGCCGGAGCGTCCCCAAAACGCCTCCTCAAGGCCCTCCTGCCCTCATCCAAGATGGCCGACTGCGCCTCACTCCGCCCGGCGCCCCCTGCCCTGATCAAAGATGGCCGCCCTCCGTGGACACCACCCCACCCCCCCGCCGTGAGCTTCTTGACCTTATCCAAGATGGCCGCCCCGGCTCCCGGGGTGGGTGGGG